GCAACACTGGATGGAAATAAATCTTGTGACACTGCAGAAGCTTATCGAAACAACGCCACAGCGAATGCGTGCTGTAATCAAAGCTAAAGGCGGTCCAACGAAATATTAGAGTGTATGACCCTTTTTTTTGTATGGCGACTTTTTTTTTGGGCCAGGCAGTGTATGTTGTTGTAACCAAGGCAGATGTTCATTTCCTCACCATCATAAAGTAGAGCTCACAATCGGCTGCGCACTCCGTTTCAAATTCAAATGTGATTCGACCAAATTCTGTGGATGACAGGCTCCACACTGAAGTCGGAAGCCTGGTGGGTAATTCAAATATTAGGTCAATTCAACTGGGAAGAGAAATAAAGAATGACATGAGAAAGACGTGAAAACACTAAGACTTACTTAAACCCAGGAACATGGATACTAAGGATGAGGTAATCATTATCGGAACTTCCTGCTCCACTCTGAATGTGATCACCCGCCACTTCCCAGCCTACATTCATGACAAAATAACACGAATAATTAATTGTAGTATTAAAATAAAGAACACATAAATACTAGAACAAGTGTTACTTAGATTTTAGGACTTTTAATTTAGTGCCCTAAAAATAGTTTTGGGGATAAACAGCTGTATATGTTAAAGTGAAAGTCACTTGATGGCAGCATTGCAGCTCATTTATTTAATCTCGTACTCATACTGTGGTTTTTACAGATAATAAATAAATAAACATCACTAGACCTGTATATGTAGGTACTGGTTGAATATCGGAATCGGAAATTTAGTGTTTGGACAATATCGGCATATCGGCAAAAAAATTAATATCTGACATCCCTACTTATCTTATTTGTCATAAATATTTTACAGTAATATATATCAATCAACTTAAATCGGAATTCCGTTCCGACAGCACAGTAATTAGGAACTTACATACTGTGCATAAGTACCTATGCTTACCAACGCTAACACAGTGGCAGCATCATAATCTAGGACATAAAAACAATCGGACAAGTCTGACTTATGCATGGGAGCCGTAATGAAGGGCGAAAAGAGAGAAAATAGAAAATATATTTCTGCTTTGCTGTACCTTTTAAGACAACGTCAATAAATTATCTTATTAATACATTTATGCGAAGTAGCGACGTGCCTACGAAACGCCAGTAGGTCAAGGACGTCGTAAAACCAAGGACCTCCTGTACATTAATCTCAGTTCCTACCCTCGGCCTTTACTGATCTTTTTGACAACAGTGCCAAACATTTCATTTAAAACCCATGGTTTCAATGTGTATTAGTTCTAAGCCCGTTATCTATCCGCTTTCTGGCTAAGTAAGATGATTCATACCAAACGTAAAAACACTGTATCCTCGAAAGGAGAACTGGCTGACACCCACCGCTCATGCCATCACACTTGTTGTTGCCCACGTTAAAGCAGGATGTCTTCATGTTGGCAGGAAGGGTATTCCACCATTTGTACTCAAAACCCAAGGTAGGTTCAGTACCTGCCGGACACTGCTTACATGCTGTTGATTTACAAAAGTGAGTAACAGAAATTAGAATGTCAAGCAAAGGAGGACAAAAAAAAAAAAAAAAAAGAAGTATTAGCAATTTTCTCCATACCTTTTAGCCCATCTGAAAATGTCCCAGGTGGACAGGGTGAGCAGGTGGCTGTGTCATTGTTGTAGAAACCAGGGTTACAGGGTGGGCAAGGTTCTTGTTTCCCGCTCATGGGTAACATTACAGCTCCAACCACCTCCTCAAGACAGATCTTCGGCTCTATCCACTTATAGATAACCCGAGTCTGAAATCACAGAGGTTGTGGGTGAAAGAAAACAGAAATGACACAAAGAGACAATAATAATAATTCTAATAAAGACATCACAAGCCAGGTATGACTAGAAT